GGAATGGCCCACTTGATGAGTTAAAAAGAAAATTTCATGGGAAAAAATTGCATGGTTATAAATTAAGATGGTATCGAAAAGGCAAACATATATTAAAAGAGAAACTCCAAGTGCGAAAGGTGTAACTCACTATAATAATTAGATAAGTTGAAACGTCTACTTCAAGTTTCTAGAATCATACATGATTAAACTTTATTCGTTTCTTCGTAGATATCAATATAAGGATGAAAAAAAGTGCTTTCAAATGATGAACTTATATTAATACATATATATTAAGCAACGTTTAGTTGGGATAAATCAGATTGAAGATATCCCTTGTAAATATTTTAGAATTTATAAAATGTGTAGCAAAACAATAAAAAAGGGTAAACGAATAGGACGTTAGCTGTAAATGGGTGTAAGCAAATAAAGTATACTGAAAAATGATTATCAACAACAATAATATTTTCTTTATACGTTTCTCAATCCTTATATCAGACAGTGAATAATATTATATCAGATCATTTTACTCAGATTAATATTAAAAAAAAAAAAGGAAAATAAATGTAATCAACAAAAAAAACTAATATTTTTGGGAAAATATATAGATGCAACCCTTTCCCGAACAAATATTACTACTACATTATATGTATATATATATATATATATTCAAAATAATACGTACACTTTAAGTATACTTCATGAAAGTACAGAATGGAGATGAGAACATATATTAAACCGCATCTAGTCAACATTTTAGCGATGATTTAATAACCTTAACGTAGCTGTTCGTTTATATGTTCACGAATACAGAAATGAAAATTATATAAACATACAACAAAAACGAGAAAAGGATATGGTATCCAAGCATTTTGTAAGGATATAAGCGTCTGATTTTATAGGTATTTTACCTTACCATTCTCACACCAAACATAGGAAAAGGTAAAGGTACGCAATTATTAATTACAACAGTGTAACGGTCCGCATGAATGTGTCAAAGATACATAATAAAACAAAGATAGATGACAATATAGATATATAATTATATAGGTAACATCTGAATTGCAATTGATGTAAATATAGTACTAACATAATCTAAGTGGCTTTGATACACAAAGAAATATCAAAAAAAGACGTTTTTGGAGCTCACTATTTCACAGAATTACGGCACCTATTGAAAACTGTTGTCCCTATGTTTAAATTGTTCATGAGTAAATATTAAAACATGAAGTCAATCACACCAATACATAAATAAATAGATATGAAAGTTTTCTATCATTCTCCTCCTTCACCGCCATATAATGTGTTCAGTATGCTATTTGGTCGCGGTAATGATG